CTCGCCATTTTGGTTCTGGTGTCTGGGGAAGTTAAAAAGTTTTTTAAAAAAATCCAAATTTTGAACGTGTCAGGACAATTCTTAGATGATCAGGAATGACGTGACAGTTTGGTCTAATACCCTTAAAAGAAAGTGTTGAATTCGAATCGACTGATTTGAAGGGAGTTTCACTTCACCTTAATGCCCGCAGTCATAACGGCGATACCCGGTCAGGGAACGGTTCCGGCGCGGAAAGGCTGCGTATGGAAATGCCGAGACAGCGCCACCACGCGCGTCTCGCATCGCGCTTTTTATCCGGCGTGAAGCTGTCACTCGGTTTTGCGGGTTTATTTACGTCCGCGGCCGCTCGACACGCCGGCAGTATCTGGCCGGCCGCCGGGGGGGCGCTGCGGGCGCTCGGCCAATTGGGAGTCGCTCGCTCGCCCGTCCCGCGCAGTCCCGCGCAGCCCGCGCGAGCGGTCGCGTCGGCCGTTTCTTTTTTGGCGTCACTTAAAAATTCCCGACGACCGGTCCCTCCGCGGGTCGCACCCTGGACGCGCGCTTTTATGGCGCTTAAGAAGCCACGATCGCCGATTCGTGGTGTGCCCTCGGGCCCGGGATTTATTGGCCCCGATCAACGGTGGACGCGCGAAGAAAACGGTTTCACGCTCACTTAACCTCTCTCGGCCGTCCCGCCAGGACCCTCTCCAATGATTCAATTGAGACGTTTCGAATGCTTCTCCGCCGGCCGGCCTGCCCACCTCTGTTATTATTGTCGATGGTGTTATTAATCGGAATTTAGAAGCGACTGGATAAGGATAACCAGACATTCGTCAGGCACCAAGGACGACAATGGCTTGAGAAAACGTTTTTCGACGTCTGTTAAGAAACTCGGTAGAGTTTCGTGCCAAATATATATATGTATATAATCGTATTAGGGGACGTAATAATAACCTTATTAGAAGAAAGAGATTTTACTAACATGCACAGGGTTAGTTTTGGTTATTGCGAGGTTATATTACATTATTAAACATTGAAAACTGTTAAATAATTCCTGCTTACATGACACGATAAGAAAATTATATCGTTGAACTTCTAAATATAGTATATGTAAATATGAATGTAATGCATATGTAAAAAATATAGATATACTCGAGTCCTCTTCTCTACTTTTAACGGCTTTCCATCTTCCCGCTTTTCCTGCCTATAACCGAAACCTCTCACAATTTTCGATTTACAAGGTATATACCTTCATTTGCAATATTACTAGATCGGAAATGCTAGTGATTTTCGTTCTTTCATACAGCGAATACGTGATTCGGCGAATAAACCCGCGTGAGATGAAAGTGCGAGAAGTGAGCGCTCTCGTCAAAAATACGTAATAAATGCTCTATATATAATCCACTACCTCTCACAATTTTCGATTTACATGGTATGTATCTTTATTTAAAATATTCCTAGACCGAAAGTGCTAGTGATCTCGTTCTTTCGCATCTCGAATACGTAATTCGGCGAATAAACCCACGTGAGATGAAAGTGCGAGAAGTGAGCTCTCTCGTCAAAAATACGTAATAAATGCTCTATATATAATCCACTACCTCTCACAATTTTCGATTTACAAGGTATGTACCTTTATTTGAATATTACTAACCCGAAAGTGCTAGCGATCTCGTTCTTTCGCATCTCGAATACGTGATTCGGCGAATAAACCCACGCGAGATGAAAGTGCGAGAAGTGAGCTCTCTCGTGAAAAATACGTAATAAACGCCCAGACTCCTCTAGAAGTGTCTTACTACCGTCTAAGGTCCTTACCGGATTCAAAGTTGTAAAGCAGTTGAAAATAAAAGCAATTTTATCGCTTCAACACCGGAAACGATGTCGACGGGCGTTTCTTTCCCATCGAAAGGAAAATAAGTCTCCGGAAAAGTGGACGATGTCTGAAAAGATAACGAATGAGGAACCGCTCTTGGGCCAGATTACTGGACTACATCCAGGGGGACATTGGTTGCACAAGTCCCATGGGGACACGAGGTTGTCTAGCCGCATTTAAGTAAAACCAGCCATAAGCGAGGCACCTCGGCCCGCGACCGAATCACTGTAATTAGCCTCGATCGCGGCTTTCGTATTAATTTTATATAATCCCGGTTTCGGTCGGCCGAGCCGGCCGAGCAGATCGTTTGTCCGTAACGACAGCTGAGAGTCAGGCCTGTGCAATTAATGGACCTTGTTACGACAGTAATCACGCCGATTAAGCGCCGATAAGCGTCACGCCATTTGTATACCGGGCCTAAGGACGTGTTCCCAGGGACTCTTAACGTAAACGCATCGATTACGAACGCGTGCCCATCGAGAGATACCCGGAGATGGAGCGAGAAAATACACAAACCGACTGACGGATAAATAATCCTACGTCGAGGAGTCGTGCACGCTATCGGCGCTAACTATAAATCTAGATCAATTCCTGGTGTCAATTAAATCCCCTTAAGACACACCTTTGGTGTACAGAAACTTAGCGAAATACATTTACCTTCCCTCAATTGCAAGAATATCTCAAATGGTTTCTTTTCTACGACAAACTCGAATCAACTGTTTCTGCCCAAATGAAGATTGTTGCAAAAAAATTTATAAAATTCATACACTTTTAGTAAATAAGGTTGCAGTAAAATTATAAATCTGATGTCTTAATAGGGAATTAATGTACATTTATTTTAAGGTTCTAAGTAAATTTATAATTTTATAACGTCGGGTTGTAATTTTGCGAAATTGCGGAGAAAAATTATAAATTTGGTATGCAAAAATTTGATTGCAAGAATATTTCAAATGGCTTCGTTGAAAAAAATTCATAAAATTCATACGCTTTTAGTGGATAAGGTTGCAGTAAAATTATAAATCTGATGTCTTAATAGGGAATTAATGTNAAAAGACTAAACTAATTTCGACTTTCAGGAAAGTGGGAGAAGTAAAAGAGTAACTTTGTACGGTTTGTTAGGACTATAGAAATGAACGGATGAACATGCGATTAAGATGTTCATAACTGACGAGGAGGAGCGAAACAATCACTCGAGTCCATTTCGAGGTGAACTCGTGGAGGAGACTTCCTGTCGTTTTGCTTAGGGACATTCAAACAGGAAGTCCTCATCAGTAGTCGACTCGAAGAAGAGGCGTCTCTTTGGCTCGGGCTATTCGTTACGCCATCGTCCAAACTTTCACGTCCATAAACTAGCACCTAGTTTTCCTCCCAACCCCTGGCCTTCCACCAAAGAGGAAAAAAGTAATCCCAGAAATAGAATCTTTAAGGTGATATGAAAGAGTCAGCTTATATATATATATATATCTGAGAAGTCACATCGATGGGGAAAATATTCCTCGAGTTGTGGGTACCGATTTGTCTCAAATTTTATCACGGGAATATAGAGGCCCTGAAGTAGGTCCTGAAACTCATGAAATTTCATTTTTCATAAAAACATAATTTATTTATTATGGACTGGAAACAACATGGCGTGGCCCGGGCACGTTTCCGATGTTTTACGCTTCTTGGAGAGTTAGGATTGAAAATGAAGAGTTTTAGGACCTAGCTTGAAGAAAATAAAGAGTAATCCCAGAAATAGAAACTTTAAGGTGATATGAAAGAGTCAGAGAGAGGGAGATATATATCTTATTATCCTGAGGAAATAAAGACTCGGCTGTAAAGTCCTCGTTATCATGATCCTTGAGATGTCTATCTATCGTAATTATTAATAAACCGAGTCTTTAGTTCATATTTAGTTTATTAGGCTCTATCTCATCTACGAGGGTAATATTTTGTAAAAATAACATTTAACAGATTTTCCAGCTGAGACTTGTTATTATACTGAGGAAATGAAGACTCGACTGTAAAGTCCTCGTTATCATGACCCTCGAGATGTCTATCTGTCGTAATTATTAACAAACCGAGTCTTTAGTTCATATTTAGTTTATTAGGCTCTATCTCATCTACGAGGGTAATATTTTGTAAAAATAACATTTGATAGATTTTCCAGCTGAGACTTGTTATTATACTGAGGAAATAAAGACTCGGCCGTAAAGTCCTCGTTATCATTACCCTCGAGATTATCCATAGTAATATGTGAAGGATTTATAATCTAAGAAATGATATCACAATCTGAAGAATTTCTATAAAAAGGGAGGTGAAATAAAAAGGGAGTGTCGGGTTGATGTATAACGAGGAAGGGCGCTATTTTATTAGAGTCGTTGAATAAAATGGAGGAAGGCCGAGAGATTTGCATGCGTGGGAACGGTATCAGTGATATCAAATCCGCCCTTTCCGCCATCCTCTCGTTTAATATTTGCGTATGAATGGGCCTGGGTTCCCCGCCGGGGGTCCGTAAATCTCCCAGCGGGCTCGATGTCTTCGATTTTATCTCCCAGGCCCCTGGGCCTTATCCGACTGGATCCCCCAGGCCATCTTTTTGTGGACCCATCCGGTGGAAGGGCAATTTCCAAAATCCAATAACGCTCGCCCCGTTGTCCTGACCCTTCCGATTCTCATATCAGAGCCTTCGATAATTGTATATCGATCGAAATATGAGAGCTCGACGCCATTTTGGTTTTGGTCTGGGTTAAGTTAAAAAATGTCAAAAAATCCAAATTTTTAATGCGTCAGGACAATTCTTAGATGATCAGGAGTGACGTGTCAAAGTTTCGGACAGTTTGGTCTAATGCCCTTAAAAAAAAAGTGTTGTATTCGAATCGACTGATTTGAAGGGGGTTTCACTTCACCTTAAGTACTCCAGAAAAACAATACCCAAATACTGTACTGTTTAACCTAACAAGGCGCTGAGATATTTAATCGAGGTCGATAAAATAAAATTCATTTATACCCTTTTTGGTGGGAACGTCATTTTGAATACTCAAGTAGGAACATAAGCTGGCGCGTCGCGTTACCGACATTTATATTTATGTTGAAGTCTTTTACAGTCCACCTTGAGAATTACGTTAATATTTGTAAATAAAAAGTTTAAATAGAGTTTAAATAAAGTTACCTTGGAGCAAACATTGCGACAGGTGCCGGCAGCTCGCGAGCAGCAGGACATCTCTGAAACAAAAATTGCAAAAATACATTTCTTTTTGTCTAAACTATCCATGATGGGGAAAATAGTATGTCGAAACTGAACACACCGGAAATATGATTAAAGATTTAAAAAAAAGACTCATTTACTACTAGGCTATTAAACACTAAAAAGTTGTTCTTGAAATGATGGACATCAATTCTTTTTTATATAGAAGTTAACTAAAAATTGCTAGTTAACTTCTATATAAATTAAAATTTATGGCCGGGTAAAATTGGAAAATCTTTAAATTAAACGGTAAATACTT